CTCTCTCTCTCTCTCTCTCTCTCTCTCTCTCTCGTGTGACGTTTCATTCTCTAGGGTGACAAATTACGCGCTTCGGGGACATGGTTATTGGTACGACTTGTAGTGAGTGAGCGTTGTTTTGTTGTTGTTGCTGGTGTTGTAGTTGTTATTGTTGTTATTGTTATTATTATTGTTATTGTTATTGTGTGTTATTATTATTATTACTGTTATTGTTGTTTGTTATTGTTGTGTATTATTTGTTATTGTTGTGTGTGTTGTTATTATTATTACTGTTATTGTTGTTGTTATTGTTATTATTATTGTTGTTATTGTTATTATTATTGTTGTTATTATTACTGTTATTGTTGTTGTTATTGTTATTGTTGTTATTATCACCGTTTTCTCCTCACTTACAGACGGGTTCATAAGTGACATTGCACTACCCAACGAGGTCTATGAGAGGGAGTTGACGCTACAGCAGCTATCCCTCGAGGCCTCCTCCACCCACGCCCTCAACCACACCCACGCCCGCCGCCCCGCCCTCACACCCGCCCTCACACCCGCCACCCCCCGCCCACACCGCCCACGCGACCCACGCCGACACCGAAGGAAAGATGAAGCAGAGAGGAAGAAACGACGGCGGATGCACAAGAAACACAAACGCAGGAAAGGGCGGAAAGGGAGAAAAGGGAGGAAAGGGAAGAAAGGGCGTGGGAAGATGCGGAGAGAAGTGGATGCCGCGGGGAAACGGGCGGTGAGGAGGTCTAGGGCGAGAGGAAACCTGGAGTACCGTCGACACATCAGGGGCAGGGCTCGTAGGGCGGCAACAGCCAGGAAGGTGAGTGTGGCGCATGCTGGTACTACACACACACGTACACGTACACACTGACGATACGTACATATGTATACACTTATGCACGCCCATACAAGTACAAGTACAGTCAGCAAAAATGGTCCATCTCACTGTCAGCACAAGGTCCAGGATAGGAGGGAGTGAGGGGAGGTAGAGGGAGGGAGTGAGGGGAGTCTTGAAGGAGGTATAATTCTCCTCAAGATAAAGCTGACACTTGAGTTGTGGGTTGTGTGGAGGAGGAGGAGGAGGTGTTGTGGTTATTATTATTATCATTATTGTTGTTGTTCCTCCCTCCCCTCTTCCTTTATCTCTCTAACTTCCTCCTCCTCCTCCTCATCTCCTCTTCCTCCTCCTCTTCTCCCTCTCTTTCATCCTCCTCCTTCTCCCCATTTTTTCCCTTCCCCTCCCCCCTTCCCCCTCCTCCCCACCTTTTTACCTTCCCCTTCCTCCCTCCACTCCCCCCACCCCCTTACGATTCTTCAGGACGCTTCCTTTACAAACCGGAGAAATACACTTTTTCAAGGGTTGGTCGCCAGCCCTATAACACAGACAGTAAAGGGATTACCTCCTGTCATCACCACCTCCCCGCCCACACACACGAGAACGCCTCTCTGTTTACCTGCAGGTTGAGTCTTAGTGCAATTTTATACGCCTTGTTGGCTATACCAGGCGTCTGTACTCGTGTGTGGTAGGGTGTTGTTATAATAGTCGGGGAAACTGTCTTAGGTCTTAGGGAAAACTATCTTGGGGAAAACTATCTAAGGGAAACTCGTAAGAAAGTGTAATTGGATGAAGTATTAAGTGGTAGATTACTCAGTCACTAGCGTCAAGGCAGGATAGCTCGGTGGGGGGGGGGGGTCATGTTTGGATCCAGTCTCAGTACAGTACAGTTTATGTATTTCAGACCCCCAGGTACACATAAGGGGGCTATGTATCCGGTACTGTACTCGGATATCTTGTTGTACTCTTATCTGTAACGTCTGGTTAGGTTAGGTTAGGGTTAGGTTAGGTTAGGTTGACTGAAGCCAACCAGAGACTCTTAGTGAGCCCAACACAAAATAGACAGGCAGATAGACAGACAGACAGACAGGCAGGCAGATAGACAGACAGACAGACAGGCAGGCAGATAGACAGACAGACAAACACAGACAGATAAATAAACAGACAAATACCGACAGATATACAAACAGACATACACAGACAAGTAGACAGTTAGATAGACAAACAAACTGACATAGACAGACAGACAATAGACATACAGACAGACAGACAGGAAGCACCCACTGTACCCCCACTGAAAATATCACAAGGAAGATAGACAGGTATTAAAAAACCTGTAGGAATGGCACAGTGGCGAAGGACTCTTGTTGAGGACTCCATGTGACATCCTTCTCCAGATCCTTGGGTCACGTGGCCTGGGAGGAGGTGGGGAGTCTCAAAGGATCCCATTAAACTGCACAGAGCCTTATATTGGGTGGTGGTGATGTGGTGATAGTGGTGATGTGGTGATAGTGGTGATGTGGTGATGTGGTGATGGTGATGATGGTGGTGATGGTAGTGATGGTGGTGATGGTGGTGTAGAGGTGATGTGAGGTGGTAGTGATAGTGGTGATGGTGGTGATGGTGGTGATGGTGGTGATAGTGGTGATGGTAGTGATGGTGGTGGTGATGATGGTGGTGGTAGTGCAAGAGGTTTTATTCTCCGCGTACTGAAGGGTGGTGTTGAGTTGAGGTCTCAGACGGGTTTAGTGAGTCTTAAGAGGTGTGTTAATGAGGTAATTAGATGGCAGGAAAGAGAGAACAGGTAGTGATGCTTAGAGAGAGAGAGAGAGAGAGAGAGAGAGAGAGAGTAAATAGTTGAAAAATTAAAAATACTGTGTTTACAACTTTGGTCATAATTTTTGTGGTAGTTTCATGTCGCTGGTCTTTACTATAACCTGGGGGTAGGGGAGGGGAGGGGTAGGGGAGGGGGAGGGATAGGAGGGGGGTAGAGGAGGAGGAGGGAGGGGGAGGTACTCGTACATAATAAAGTCTCTCTCTCTCTCTCTCTCTCTCTCTCTATTCATGTTTTCCTCCCACCTCTCCTTTTATTTTCCTCCCCATTTCCCTCCTAAACCCTCACTATTTTTCCTCCCCATTTCCCTCCTAAACCCTCACTATTTTTCCTCCTCATTTCCCCCACCCTCTTCTCCCCACCAATTAGGGTAAAAGCCAAGAAAATCTCCCCAGATCCCCACTAATCCCTTCTTTCACGATGGGGAGAAAAAGAGAAGGAGAGAGATAAAAGAGAGTGATATTGAGAGAGAGAGAGAGAGAGAGAGAGAGAGAGAGAGAGAGAGAGAGAGATTTAGCTAACTTATTTATTGACAAAGCTTGTAATACAGTTTGCCTATTCTGAGTAATTCAGTCAGGTCTTGACACTGGGGGTGGTATCACTTCTCACTGCCACGCAGGACAGAGGTTCATACACAAAGAAATACATCATGTTCATTAACAGCTATATATGTATAGAGGTCAGATTCATGTGGGTAATGTCACTGCTCACTGCCATGCAGGACAAAGTTTCATATACATTGGACGACATATTCTAATTGAAGACTAATCAGTGTGGGCTAACAGCAAATTTGGGATAAACAGCAAGAATGTCCTCAAGCACACCTGATTCAATGTAGTAATTACAAAGTTCTTGATACAATAAGTCAGGTGGCCTGAAGTCTTTGACAGTGTCACATTCAATAATATAGTGTTCAAGTGTATGCTTTAAAGGTTTATCACAAAGTTTACATGCTGAGTGTTCCGGTATGGGTACAGCGTTATTAACTTGCCAGATGTGTCTGTACCCTAGCCTAATTCTGGCCACAACTATATCACATTGTCTGGTTCTGTCCTTATGCTGGCCGTACCGGTAAAGAGTGTGATATTGAGAGAGAGAGAGAGAGAGAGAGAGATAATGAATAAAGGAGAAAGTAGAGACAGGGAAGGAGGGGTGTAGAGAGAGGAATGGGAAGAAGGTAGGTAGAGAAAGGGAAGGAGAGAGGAGGAAGGAAGGAAGAAAAGGGAGGTAAAGAAGAGAAGGGAGGAGAGAAAGAGAAGGGAGATGGAGAGAGAAGGAAGGAAAGGTAAAGGAGAAAGAGAGAGGGGGAAAAGGAGGAAGGAGGGAGAGAAGATGGATGCGAGAAGGGAAAATAGGAGGGAGAGAACAGGAAGAAGAGGAAAGGTTGGAGAGAAAGGGGAAAAAAAAGGGAGATGATTAAGTACCTCTCAAGTGTCAGCTGTATAGACACCCTTGAGCGCTACCTAAGCCTCGCCCTTGAGCATTAGTGTTTTGTGTTATTCTCTCCAGATCAGTTCAGAGTATTGACGTGGTTTGAGTGCCACTTGAGAGCGTGTTTTTTTTTTAAGTGTCATCCATGTGTGTGTGTGTGTGTGTGTGTGTGTGTGTGTGTGTGTGTGTGTGTGTGTGTGTGTGTGTGTGTGTGTGTGTCGATTGGGTTAGATTTCTCCTTCCTCCTCCCCACCTCCTCCTCCTCCTCCTCCTCCTCCTCCTCCCTCCTCCTCCTCCCACCTCCTCCTCCCACCTCCTCCTCCTCCTCCTCCTCCAGACGAACAGTATAGCTTCCTCCTTGGGACATACAAAAAGCTATCTACTCTTTAGCTGTACCTCCTTAGCTGGCCTCAGTGTGTCACCATCTTTCCCTTCTTCCTAGTTTGCTTTTATCCTACTGATGTAGCTTTCTCCTAGCTAAAAAAAAATCCTTAATCCTACATTCTACCAGCTATTAATCCCCCATTCTCGATATCCCACAGGTAGAGGGCGTAGGACTTCAGCATAATCTTCAACATCCTTTCCTACCATACCTTCATTTATTTCTTCTTACCTCCTTAAAAAAAAAAATCCTACATCATGCCAGCTATTAATCCTTTATCCTAGCAGCTATAAAAGATCCTACATCCTAGCAGGTATTAATCCCCCCATTCTCGGTATCCTCCAGGAGCGGGTGTGGGACTTCGGCGTGATCCCTTACATGATCGACAGTAACTTCACGGGGGCGGACAAGGGGCTGTTCAAGCAGGCCATGAGACACTGGGAAAACTTCACCTGTATTCGCTTTGTAGAGAAGACTGACGAACATCCTAACTACATCATCTTCACCGAGCGGGAGTGTGGGTAAGTCTTGGTCACTGTCTTGGTCACTGTCATGGCTACTTATGTAAGTGAGTCTTGTATCACTGTCTTGTCTACTATCTGTTAATTGTCTTGTTCACTGTCTTGGTCACTGTCTTGGTCACTGTCATGGTTACTGTGGGAGTGTGGGTGAGTCTTATTCACTGTTTTGGTCACTGTCTTGGTCACTGTCTTGGTCACTGTCATGGTTACTGTGGGAGTATGGGTGAGTCTTATTCACTGTCTTGGTCACTGTCTTGTTCACTGTGTTTATTGTGTGAGGAAAAACAAACAAACAGACGGACAGTTAAACAGACAGTGGAATAAAGGACAGACAGACATTGATTGTTAAATACGTCCATAATAATAAGTCAGCTGCTCCTTATATCCGGCTATAGTTATTAATTACTCCTTTATCTTCGTCAGTGATCCATTTAACCGGATATTAAAATGATAGAACCATTTAACCGGAACTCAGAGTAAGTGGATCATTTAACCGGATTAAAAAAAATAACACAATCATTTAACCGGACTTATATACAATTGGTCATTTCTAAACAGTCACTGGCCGAATCACTGAGGACTTATAAATATAATCTGTCCCGAATAACCGGATTTGACTATTGATCCGGCCCAGGTAAGAGGATTTACTGGAGCAATTGAACGGATTTTACAACTGTGTTTCGGGTAAGCGGAGGCGACTGTCGTAAGCGAAGTGACCTATTGTTCTTGGTGTGTGTGTGTGTGTGTCCTAATTAACCGAAGCAATATCTTATCCAGGTGACAATTAATTATCTATGTACAGGGTGTGTCAAAAATGTATACGGTAATAAAAAAAATGATTGTTTACTGTACCTTTTGGGTTTTTTTTTTCAGACTCTGTATATATATTTTTCCAGGTAAGGTAAAATATCCTATGCAGGTAACACTAATTAATTATCTGAGCTTCATTGTACCCCCTTACCTTACCCCTTACCTTCCCCCTTACCCTCACCCTTACCCTCACCCTCCCCTCCTTACCTCCCCCTTACCCCCTCCTTACCTCTCCCTTTACCCCCTTACCTCCCATTACCCCCCTTTACCCCCCTTATCCCCCTTAGTGGCTTACAGCTATATAGACAGACCTCTCGCTTTTGGTTACATTACAATATAGGTTCCACGGTAGCAATAGTCTCCACTAGGCTTAGGCTCTAATGGTCAGGTGGCATAGTGGTTATCGCCTCTCACCAGTGTTCCTCAAGTGCGATGGTTCGATCCCTGGATGTGGGAGGGGGGGGGTTGTGATGTTACTGAATGTTGGTTAGGATCACGTGATGATTAATACCTAATTATAACCTAACTACTAAATGCTAACCAAACCTAACAAATGCTAACCAAACCTAATCAAACCAAATGCTAACCAAACCTAACCTAGCAAATGCTAACCAAACCTAACCTAACCAAATGTCTCCACTAACTGATTTACAATAGTCTCCCAATAACCGAATTAACAACTTCTGTCCCAAATAACCGGATTGTATAACCTAAGTATACTAGTTTCTGTCCCGAATAACCGGGTTTCCAAATCCCTCCTCCCTCCTCCCCCCTTCCCTATGTGTCCCAATTAAGCGGGTAACATAGAGTGTGTGTTAAGTTGAGTGTGGTACATATTTTTACCTCTAGTAGCCGATTAAGCGGAGTGTTACCCATCTTTACGAGGGAGTGTCAATTAACCGAATGGCCGGGTATTCCATTAACTGTCTCATCTACACACCGGAGTGCCCATTGGCAAGATGTGAGAGAGTTTATAACAGGTTGGGGGGTGGGGGTAGGATAGGTAGGGGTGTAGGATAGGTCAGTGGTTGGTTAGGTTAGGTTAGGTTATCCTCAACTCAGCCTTGGTGCCCATTAACACACAACTATACGGCCAAATTGTGTTTACAGAGCCGACCAGAGAAACGACCCGCTCACATATAAGCTACCTGAGGGCCTTATATCAGGGCCTCATGTAAACACAGTCATAACCCCTGTTCTTATATGTTTAAGGGGAAGATTGATGTTATCGGCACAGTGTTATTGATAGTGACTTAAGGTGGGTGCTATTAGAAGATATTGAAAGGGTTTGTGATTGATTTTAAGATGAAGAAAGAAATTGGAGGGATTGGTCGGGGAAGGGGAGAGAGGATTGGTCGGGGAGAGGGAGGTGGTCGGGGAGGGGTGGTCGGGGTAAGAGGGATTGGTCGGGGGGAGAGGGATTGGTCGGGGAGAGGGATTTCGGGGAGAGGGGTGGTCGGGAGAGAGGGGGGGTGTTGTTTGGGTCAATGGGGGTGGGGGGAGGGTATGGGTGGAATAGGGATGGTTGGTCTCTGTACGTTCATCCATCCGTTCATCGTTCTTCATCATCCATATCTAGTACATGCATGGATTGGATTCCGTACACACACACACACACACACACAAAGGCGTTACTCCCCATTATCCTCTTGACGTACACATCACTATACTCTCGTGTGTGTGTGTGTGTGTGTGTGTGTGTGTGTGTGTGTGTGTGTGTGTGTGTCAATATGGTTGGTTGCTTCTCTCAATATGAAGGAGGAGAGGAGGGGAAGACGAGAAGGAGTGAGGAAGGAAGGAAGGGAGAGACGAGGAGAGGAGGGAGGGAGATCACGTGACTGAGTTTGTTGACGTCCTTCCTTCCTTCCTTCCTTCCTTCCTTCCTCTCTCTCCTTCCATCCCTCCTTCCTCACTGCCTTGTGGCCCCTCCCCTCCTCTCTCTTGGCCGCTCCTCCCTCTCTTGGCCATGGCCCATCCCTCCTCTCTTGGCCATGGTCCCCTCCCTCTCTCTTGGCCATGGCTATCCCTCCTCTCTTGGCCATGGCCATCCCTCCTCTCTTGGCCATGGCCCCCTCCTCCTCTCTTGGCCATGGCCCATCCCTCCTCTCTTGGCCATGGCCCCATCCTCCTCTCTTGGCATGGCCCCATCCCTCCTCTCTTGGCCATGGCCCATCCCTCTCTCTTGGCCATGGCCCATCCTCCTCTCTTGTATGGCCCCATCCCTCCTCTCTTGGCCATGGCCCCATCCCTCCTCTCTCTTGGCCATGGCCCCATCCTCCCTCTCTCTTGGCCATGGCCCCATCCCTCTTGGCCTTGGCCCATCCCTCTCTCTTGGCCATGGCCCCATCCCTCTCTCTTGGCCATGGCCCATCCCTCCTCTCTTGTATGGCCCCATCCCTCCTCTCTTGGCCATGGCCCCATCCCTCTCTCTTGGCATGGCCCCATCCCTCCTCTCTTGTATGGCCCATCCCTCCTCTCTTGGCCATGGCCCATCCCTCCTCTCTTGTATGGCCCCATCCCTCCTCTCTTGGCCATGGCCCCATCCCTCCTCTCTTGGCCATGGCCCCATCCCTCCTCTCTTGGCCATGGCCCCATCCCTCCTCTCTTGGCCATGGCCCCATCCCTCCTCTCTTGGCCATGGCCCCATCCCTCCTCTCTTGGCCATGGCCCCATCCCTCCTCTCTTGTATGGCCCCATCCTCCCTCTCTTGGCCATGGCCCCATCCCTCTCTTGGCCATGGCCCCATCCCTCCTCTCTTGTATGGCCCATCCCTCCTCTCTTGGCCATGGCCCCATCCCTCCTCTCTTGGCCATGGCCCCATCCCTCCTCTCTTTGGCCATGGCCCCATCCTCCTCTTGGCCATGGCCCCATCCCTCCTCTCTTGGCCATGGCCCCATCCCCTCTCTTGTGCATGGCCCCATCCTCTCTCTTGGCCATGGCCCATCCCTCCTCTCTTGGCCATGGCCCCATCCTCTCTCTTGGCTTGGCCCCATCCCTCCTCTCTTGGCCATGGCCCCATCCCTCCTCTCTTGGCCATGGCCCCATCCCTCTCTTGGCCATGGCCTCCCTCTCTCTTGGCCATGGCCATCCCTCCTCTCTTGGCCATGGCCCCATCCTCCTCTCTTGGCCATGGCCTCCCTCCTCTCTTGGCCATGGCCCATCCTCTCTCTTGGCCATGGCCCCATCCCTCCCTCTCTTGTGGCCCCATCCCTTCTCTTGTGTGGCCCCATCCCTCTCTCTTGGCCATGGCCCATCCCTCTCTCTTGGCCATGGCCCCATCCCTCCTCTCTTGGCCTTGGCCCCTCCCTCTCCTCTTGGCCATGGCCCCATCCCTCCCTCTCTTGGCCATGGCCCCATCCCCCTCCTCTCTCTTGGCCATCCCATCCCTCCTCTCTTGGCCATGGCCCCATCCCTCCTCTCTTGGCCATGGCCCCATCCTCTCTCTGGCATGGCCCATCCTCTCTCTTGGCCATGGCCCCATCCCTCCTCTCTTGGCCATGGCCCATCCCTCCTCTCTTGGCCATGGCCCCATCCCTCCTCTCTTGGCCATGGCCCCTCCCTCCCTCTCTTGGCCATGGCCCCATCCCTCCTCTCTCTTGGCCATGGCCCATCCTCCTCTCTTGGCCTGCTTCATCCCTCCTCTCTTGGCCATGGCCCCATCCCTCCTCTCTTGTATGGCCATCCCTCTCTTGGCCATGGCCCATCCCTCCTCTCTTGGCCATGGCCCCATCCCTCCTCTCTTGGCCTGGCCCATCTCTCTTGTCATGGCCCATCCCTCCTCTCTTGTGCATGGCCCATCCCTCTCTTGGCCATGGCCCCATCCCTCCTCTCTTGGCCATGGCCCCATCCCTCTCTCTTGGCCATGGCCCCCATCCCTCCTCTCTTGGCCCCATCCTCCTCTTGGCCTGGCCCCATCCCCTCTCTTGGCCTGCCCTCTCTCTGTCCCTCTGGCTCCCTCCCTCTCTCTTGGCCATGGCCCCATCCCTCTCTCTTGGCCTGGCCCATCCCTCCTCTCTTGGCGCCCCCCTCTCTGGCCTGCATCCCTCTCTTGGCCTGGCCTCCCTCCTCTCTTGGTGGCCCCATCCCTCTCTTGGCCTGGCCCCTCCTCTCTCGCATCCCTCCTCTCTTGGCCATGGCCCCTCCCTCCTCTCTTGGCCATGGCCCCTCCCTCCTCTCTTGGCCATGGCCCC